GGGCGCAAAGAAGCAGAAACGTATAGGATCCGGCGCGGGAGGTCCGCGGAGGACGGGTGAGACACATGACTGCATTGAGATCTCGAAAAATGTTGTCCTGAATAAATGTAACACACTTGTGCATTTAAGAGGGTCGAAGATGATTACGTTTTGCAAATTAACACATGGTAGAACCTGTCAAATTATAAAGTTACAAATATGACAATTGTTCGTGACTAGTAGACAACACGCAAAATCACTTAGTGCACAATACGTTGCGTATTAATCAGGGGCGAAGCTCACATGTGTTACTTCTTTACATACGAATTGTCGCAATTGGCAAAAAGTTAATCATATTCAAACTGCTAGAAACCCTGAAATTTTGTAAACCTACTGAGTCGTATTGTCAAAGTTCACAATTTTTTTTACAGAAGGTAACTAATGGTAATTATGGTGTGATCACGAAAATAAGAAGAGAAATAAGTTAGTAGGATAGTTATGGTAACGAGTCAAAAGGGACCGTTGTGCGGATTATGACTTAGCGAGTTGAAGATCAGGAATCACGGGCATGTTTTGGAATGGTTAGGGTGTTTTGAGCGCGCCTGGAGCGGAGAAAAGTGGAGGGTAGCTTGTGAGGATTTGGGGCCAAAAGTTGAGGAGTAGGCGTAGTGTAGCTCAAGCAGTTGGGTGGGCTATTGCCACAGGGAGCCGAGCCGGGGGGAAGGGACCGGGGCAGGCGACGGCGAGCCTGGAGGGAAACATTTAGAGGCGCGGTGCAGCCTGGCAGGGTCAGCTCTCCGGGCGAGGACACCCATGGGGGAGAGGAGAGGAAGAAGCCAGCGAGGGCGAGGGCGAGGGTGAGGGTGAGGGCGAGGGCGAGGGCGAGGGCGAGGGCGAGGGCGAGGGGGAGGGCGAGGGCGAGGGCGAGGGCGAGGGCGAAGGAGCGGAGGCAGGGGGCGGTACTCTTTTTAAGCAGCCCTCCGAGGCATTTGCATTCCTCGCGTGATTCCCACGATAAAGACGTAAACGCGAGGACCGGGCGCACGGAGGCCGGCTTGGTCCCGGCGGCGGCGGCGGCGGCGGCAGGGGCAGAGATCTTGTTGCTCTTTCGCGTCGCAGAGTCGCGTGACGGGGAGCGGCCCCGGGGCTTGTTTCCACGACGAGAATGCCGATTGCCGCCCCTCTCTTCCCCTGAATATCTTTGGCCTAGATTCCCGGTTATTTGTAAGTCAGCCTTATTACGATATTCTGTTTGATTTCTTGCATGTCTTTCATTAGAGCATTGAAATTCCTTCCACCATTTCCAGATAAACTCTAGGATTTTTCTTAAGATATTGCGTTACGTATTATTGAGAACCTTAAATTTCAGGATGTAAAATTTGATTTGAAAGATAATGTATGTATACGGAAAAAGGCCATATCCTATACTTTAAATGAACAAAACACAAACACACACACACATATATAACATGTATATGTGTATATACGTCTTACAAAATTTATAAATACACACGTAAGATAATTTTCACTACATATTTAATGATGATTTGTGTCTTGAAATAAACAATACAAAAGGCCGGTCCGGTTGGCCGAGATCGCTAAGTGGCGATCTCCGATCAAAGGATCGCAGGGTCGACATCCGCCTCGCATGGTTGTCTTGTGTTCGTTCTTTCCCCCCCTATCATCACCATATCGTGTCATACTCACAGTTACCATACCGTTACAGGCAATAGTGGTCGCTAATGACCTACATGTTGATGCGACCTTAAAAAACATAAGTATTCGATTTCTAGAAAAAAAAAACGTTGGCGGAAAAGGGCGAAGATCGCCACCCTGCACCTTTCCTGGCCGCGCAGCAGACGCTTCTAGAGTAAAGGCGGTCGGTGAGAGGGCGCGTTGGCGGAATACGCAACACAAACACCGGCCGCTGCGCTCCTATTAAATATGCATTGGCGCGGCGGAGTGGCCCAGAGCGCAGGCGCGCAGAGCTGCTCTGCTCCGCTCCGCCTCTCACCGGAGCGCGGGGGCGGCGGCCGTGTTAGAAGCGGGGGCGGTGATTATTGGTCAAGGTCACTCGGGGAGCACGAGGAAGGGAGGTGGCGATGGATGCGGTTTCAGGAATACTCATAGATTCTCCAGAATACTCCAGATTCATTGTTAGTGATTCCAGCCGCGTCACCAGTAAATGTCATGTTCAGTACGTGTAGTGCATGTTTTCCCTTGGGAAGTGTTTGTGATTTCCCCCCCGCTGAATAATTAGATCCGTCGACGACCTCCCTAGTGCATGTTGGTGTTTGAGTAAGAAAAGGTGAGGGTAGGATACGGAAGAGGCAGGAAAGATCGCGCGCGATAGCCCGTGGATTGTTAGAGTACTCTTCCATCATTTGTCTGGTGTTCATAAAAAAGAAACAACGGAAAACTAACGATTAGAGCAGCCGGTCTCTATTATTCTCCTCCAGACAGCGACTGAATTTATCTAGCTATCTATCTAGTTGCGTAAATCCTGCCACCGTTGGGACTCGAACCTAGGACTTCCCGGTTTGAGTCACTGAGTGACATCAGTTGTGGAACCGATTCACCTCTTCCGGTCACGGTTCGTCCAGTACAGGCACAGTGGAGGAATGATAAGGATCAATATAAAGAAAGAGGGTCATGAAGTCGCGAAAGACAGGGAGAGCGAGGACAATGAGGATGAGAAGGGAAAGGAGGACAGGAACGACAAAATGGAGAAAGTGCCGAGCAAAGAAGGAGAGGACGTTCATGGCGAGAGGAATGTAAGGGCAGCGAGGGCAGGGAGAACCTTTCACAGCGGCGGGGGCGGAGAGAGAACTAAGGATAGCGAGGGCGGCCAGTCCAAAGCGATGACCAATGAAGGAGAGACTGGAGGTGATAGAAGCGGCTACGGCAACCGCAAGAAAGCGAGAGGGGGAGGAAAAGAGAAGCATGTCGTTAATGGATATGAATAAATGAATACGGTTCCGTAGGCGCGGGGCAAATACGGACGCTGGCAGCGCCTCCGCGCCCGCCGCCTCCGCGCTATCTCGTTAGCCTGCACCTCCCGTAAAAACGGATCGAGAGCACGGAATAATTAAACGCGAGCGCTTTTTAATTACGAGTAAGGCGCGCTCTACGCGAAGCGTGCTGACTTGACGAGCAGAAACAATCTGCAATACCCTAGGCGGAAAACGGATGGCGGAAAGATCGCAGGAACCGAACGCTTTTATTGGTATTGCCAATACCGATTCTTTGGATCCTATTAGTTTGATTGAAATTTAAGAATGCTTCAATGCAACCAATTGCATAAAGCGTTTTAGATCTTGGAACTTTTTTTAAAATTTCTACACAGTTTATATGATAATAAGAAGTAAGAGATTTTACTGAAGGTTTCATATAGTAGGTACACTACGACCATGATATATGTACTATATGATTCACCGAAAAAAAGGGTTGTAACAGGTACTTTTACTTCGTTTATGCATATTAATATTTAGAAGACTAATCAATTGGACTGTATTTTAGTCGTATAGAATGTATTTGTATGTATTATATATAATACATCTATTATGCTGTTAAATGTATCTCTTTAAGGCCTGTTTATTTTCAGAAGTACGGGATTTCTTTTTAAGTGGAAACAAGAGAAGTTGAAATTTAAGAAGTGTGGAAAATTCGAGAATAAATCAATACGTTTATGAAGGGAAAAGTCTGCGTTTCTAAGTTTTAGTGGATGTTTTTTTAAATAAGTAACTAGTAAGGCATAACATATTTTTGCATCTTCATAAATTTCAATCTTCATTTCTTGTTCGTTTCTAAATAGAGTTAATATTACTAGATTAATCTGTAAATTTTTCTTACTCGAGGGAGGATGCCCAAAGGAGAGCTACACACTTTGGGGTGTAGGTTATATGACTTTTTTCAATTTTGTCCAGTTAATTTTACTGCATTGAATGCGCAATCAACAGTTGTATGTTTGATACATTGAATGATAGCATTTACCAACGTTTATTAGCCAGTTAAGTTTTTTGTCCAATAGTTACTTGTTTTGGAATAATTTTACTTAACGTTTAGTTACAACATGCTTTATAAAAATAGCTGCTACGTTATGCGTCAGTGTAGTACATAGGAGAAAACTTAAAATATAAACGAAAGTGGTAAAATGGAGTAGATAGAAAGTCTCCAAACAGCACCTACCGTTTTGTCCTGCAAGAGGATAATCCTGCAGTTGAGGTTGGCAGTGCTGCCAACCTGGACGGTAATGTTGGTCGCGTTGGCGCCGTGCTCCACTTCGTCGAAGTGCGGGCCCAAGTGGCGGTCGTGGTGGTAGTGCTTGTTGAGGGGCGAGTGCACGTCGAAGATGTAGCCCAGCAGCTGGGGCGAGTCGGTGCGCGCGGCGGGCGCGGGCGGGCCCACGTGGGGCGGGG